AATACGACTAATTCTTGCGAATCGAATACGCAAAAAAAAATATAAACGCCGAAGACTTTTTTTTTAGCTTACGATTAGTTTATTATCAAAATCACCGCTATCTATTCTCTTCGTAATAAAACTGCTAAAAGATATAAACGAATTAAAAAATCCTTCGACGGCGCAAAAAGCTAATTGCTATACGACGATTACTTTAAAGCTATTTGCATTTTAATCCGCAGCGCTCGCTAATTAAGCGTCATTTTAAAGACTTGCATTTTTAACGCTTACGCTATTTAAATTATTAATTATTATATCGTTGCTTACGTCGCCTTTTAAAAGATTATAATTAATGCAGCTCGAGAGCGCAAGTTTATAAAGCTTAATGCTAAAATAATTAATTTTATTTGCTAAGCCGTAAAAGACAAAATTAATATTAAGTGAAAGGATAAGATTGTTATTTCGGACGAAAAACTTTTAAAAAAAACTAAAACTAGCAGTTTCGTTATATAGCTTGCTAATTTTAATTTTCGATATTAAAAGCGAATACGAAAAGCTTAAAAAGCGTATAACATTTGCCGACGAGACTCGGACTTAAAATTTCGTTTTATAAAAAAAGCTCGAATGGAAGAATTTATTTATAAACCTTAATTTACGAGTGCTAAATAAGTCAGCAATTATAACAAAATTAAGCTTACCTTTTGCTTTTAAAACCCTTTTGCTTAAATTACTTATTGCACGCTTTTTATTATTATTAGCTTTATTTTAAAAATCAATATCACCTTTTGTTAATAAGCTTTTAAACGCTAGCTTAATCGCTTCGATCATATCTACTTTACGCAAATCTACCGACGTAAGCTTTTTTTTAGCTTTTAAACTTAAAATGCAACGCAACTTTTTCGAGATATAATTATTATTAATCTTAGCTATTAAAAAAGGAAACAGCTTTAATTATAAGCTAGCCAAAGCCATTATAAACCGCTGCCCCGGATTCGTCGAAATGAAAGATCTTATAAGTATAAACGTAGCTTTTATTAACTTTTATTAAAACTTTAATCAATTAGCTTTCGATCGCTTAAACTTAAACGAAAACATCGATAACTCTTTTTAAATTGCCGCGGAATTAATTAAGAAAGCTATTAGCTAAATCCGTAAGCTATTAAACGACGAGTTTTTTAATAACGCGATCTTACGACTTTTCGACCGCCGTAATTAAATAAAGATAAATAAAAAAAAGCAAAGTAATAAATTACTTCTTATTATTCGAGATCTTTAATTTAAGCTTTAACGACGACGAATACAATTCCATAAAGATCTTATAAAAAGTAAAAAAATACCAGGCTTTTGTGTGGTACATCTTTTTTGGTGCTTCTACAATAAAGAAAAAGAAAAAGAAAGAGATTCGAGTTTTTTAAACGACTTAAACCTTAGCGAATACGAGCTTTTGGACGACGATATAAGTGAACCATTTAATCTAAAGGTGATTTTTAAAGCTAAATCTATTAACTTTTAAATTATTTTTTGAACACTTTTAAAAAAATAAAAATAAGCTTATAAAACAGTTTCTTAGTCTATTCCTTTATTATTGTTTTTTTCTTTCTTATCTTCTTTTTGTTTTATATTTATTTTATAAAGGAACGCGCCTTTAATAATTACTCTTTTTATTTGGTAAGGAAGAGTATTTTTTACTTTTATTTTTTTACTTTTAGACCTGCTTTTTATTGTATTCTTTGTCTTTTCTTTGTTCCTTTTACCTTTTTAGCTATTTACTTGTCTTATATAAATTGTTTTTATTGTTTAATTGTTTTTTATTTATTTTAAGCTTATATAACCATTTTTTATTTTTTAATCGGGACTGTTCTTTTATTTTAAGCGTGCTTAACTACGTGTATTCGAAGGTGAACTATTATTAAGAATAATAGGTCTCCTTTATTAATATACTTATATAAAAAGCTTCCTTTCTTCTTTTTTTTAATATTTTTTCCTTATGTAATAATAATTATAACCAGGGCAAAGGACCAAGTTCTCTGTAGTGTTATCAACGGGCTAATTACTCATTTGTATATTATTAAATTAGATTTTTATAAAATTAATAATTAGCTCGTTGATAATATTATATCGGACTTTATCCTTTACTAAATATTAAACTTATTAAATAGATCGTAAAATAAAAGTAAATATATATAAAAGTATTATTATATTAAAAACTATCGAGTTTATAATTTATTATAAAAAGGAGACCCTTTTAAACCCCTTTTATTACTTATCTTTTCATTTTTATACCGAGGAGACCCCGGACCCTTTTTATTACTTATAATTATATATTTACTTATATTACGAAAATATCAGAAGTTCTAAAAGTTACAAAAGTTAAAGAAGTTATAAAAGTTACAGAAGTTACAGAAGTTATAAAAGTTATAGAAGTTATAAAGGTTATAAAGGTTACAAAAGTTACAAAGGTTATAAGATTATACAAGTCATAAAAGTTATAAGAGTTATTAAATCTAAGAATATACATTAAAGAAAGTCTAAACTCGAATCTTTAACTTAGCTATAAAAAGTGCACTTAAAAGAAAAGAGAAAAAGAAGAGAGGAAAGTCTCGAGCAAAAGAAGAGAGTCTAGGTCTTCGTTTCTTACGTAAGCTCTTTTTAAACGTAATACACTTTCGAAAAGACTACCGACAGCGAGCATACGCATCTTTTAAATTAGATATCTATGCTTTACTAGCCGAAAAGTATGCTTAACACTTTTAACGAGCAACGGCGCACGCATCGCAAAGCGAGTCTACTAGCTCATTTTTATATATTTGTATTAGCTTAAGGTTGCTAAAAGATAAAAAAAAAAAATCTTATAATTCGGTCTTTATAATACGACCAACGTAGCCGATGATAACACGGCGAAGAAAAAAGAGCTTTAATAAGTCCGATTGCTTATACGACTATCATATGCTTATAACGGAAAGCGTGTATAAGTCTTTGTTCTTTTTTTAAATAGTCCAAGCTTAAAAGAGCCGCGCAAACCCGGCAATCGATTAAGCTTGTTCAAGCTAAGCTTTAATAAAAAAGGTCCTTTTACTAACGGCCAGCGAAAACGTAAACATTTATTAATTTAATTAATAAGCATTAATAAAAGATGTAAAATATACTTACGCTTATGCTTTATTATAAAGGTAAGATCGATTTAAAACTTATAAAGCGAAGAATAGCAAGTGGCGTAGCAAAGAAAAGCACGGCGGCGGCGAAGAATATAAGAGCCGAAGCGAATATAAAAGCGAGAGCGGAAGCGCTGATTAAAGTCGATAGCACGAAAAAGACGAAAAGAGAAAGAAAAAAAGAGCGAGAGATTATTAGCTCATTTATATCGTCGTCGTCTTCGAATCTATATATATATATATAATTAGCGTAAGTAGCTCGAATGTATTACTTAATCTTAAGATGACTCATATTACGAGCTTAAAATCCTTTATTACTTTATCTTTTTCTACTTCTCTCTCAGCCTCTCTTACTGCTAAATCTATAGCAAAGAAAGAAAAAGGAAAAGGCAAAGCAGTAGCGGGCACGGCGAAGACGGCGAAAACGGCGAAGACGGCGAAGACGCTATAAAAAAGAAAGGTAGAAAAAAAGCGAAAAATTATTAGCTCATTCTTATCATCATCTCTGTCTTGATTAAATTTATATATAATATTAGCGTAAGTAGCTAAAATGTATCACTTATTACTTACACCGCGGGCTTAACTAAAGCAATAAGCAAAGCTTGTTAAGAAAAGAAGAAAAGGTGTAAAAGCAGCCACTATTGCTTGCGAAGTAGTTGTACTTGCCGCTTATAAGCCGGATCCGGCCGACTCACCCGCCCTATATAAGGTTCGTCTCGAAGGTTGCGCTAGCGGAGTAAGATTATATTATTAATATAGTTATAATTGTAATTGTAGTTATAGCTAGAGTTAAAGTTAAAGTTAAAGTTAGAATTAAAGTTGATATTGATATTAATATTAACGTTAAAGTTAAAAAGAATATTTAAATTATAGTAAATATTGAATAGTGATAAACGAATTCACTTTTCAAAAAGGTCCGTGCTTAGTTAAATTTTCACACTTGCCGCATTCGTCGGTATAACAGTATATCTATATAATATTTTATATAATAGCTTGTAAATCTTGTGTTCTGTAACTCTTAAGTCTTATAACTCTTATAACTTTTATAACTTTTGTAACTTTTATAATATAAGTAAATTTTCGCTTTTGCTAAATCTATCGGCTTAATATACATAATTATACAAAGTTATCAACGTTATAAAAGTTATAAAAGTTATAAAAGTTACAATTGATTTAGCGCAATTAACCGTATAATCTAAATACATTGTTTACTTTTAATCAATTGCTAATAGCTATACAACTACTTTTAATAATAAACTATTAGCATACATCTTACAATTCGTTAAGCTTATACTCTTTTATAACTATCAATCGATGAGCTTTAAACTCGATCTATGCGTAAGCTTTTAAGCTTTAAATAGCCCTTTTTATACGCTTATCTAAAACATGTAAGCGTTAAAAGGTCCGCTTATTACAATAGTGATAATAAGTATATAAGCTATCTAGCTCTCTTTACGAAAACAGACTTAAACAACCTTAGCAAAGTTCGTTCGTTAATTTCGCTATATATTCCGATATTATTATATCTGCAAAATCGCTAACCAAACCTTTCCGAGCTATATCTCGAATAAAATACTCTTTCGCTAGCTCGTAGCGTCGTTAATAATAGCAATTCAAGCAAGTAGTAAATCGCAGACTAGTGTTCAAGATAAAGAAGTATAATAATAAGCGGAAAGTATAACACTTAACGCACTCGATTTTAATAAATCTTTTAAATAGCTGAGCAAGTGCGAAAAGCGTAAGACGCGGTAAAGATTAGTATATCGTATTTATACTTAAGTTAAAAGTTAAAAAGAATAAAAGAAAAAGCAAATCTAGCGTTAAAGCTAATGCTTTTGCTTTAGCTTTGATTTTATTAGATTATTCGATCTATGCGAAAGCGCAATATACATCGAGATCGTCGTATATTTTCTTATCTTTATACGTCGTGTATATGAATCTAAAATAATTTATAAGTATAAGATCTTAGCTTCTTTTGCTTACTTCGCTTTTTCGTTTGCTTTTTGCATTATCTTATGTTTTATTTTTACTTTAAGCATCATCTTGTGTATTATCTTTGCTTTAAGCATCAACTTTAATCTATTAGCTGCTTAAAGCATCGATAAGCTTTTTAAAATTGATTTTACTTATAATACGAATTATTTCGTCGTTATTATCGAAAAGATCGAGTGATTCATATCGCTAACGTAGCAAGCTAAGTGATAATGCGATAAGTGCGCGTTGTAAAGTTGCGTAATAAAAGTTATTTAATAAAAAAGTTTTCGATAATAGTATAATAACTTCCTTTTCTTCTTTTTTAATCTCGGCTTCCTTTTCAATCTCGGCCTCTTTTTCAATCTCGGCCTTTTCTTTAATATCACCTTCTTCTTTAATCTCGCCATTCTTTTCAATCTCGCCCTCCTTTTTAATCTCGCCCTCCTTAAGCTCCCTTTCTTTCTTAATCTCCTTTTCCTTAATATAATTAGTAACACTCTCTTTCTCTTTCTTCGTATTCATAATCGCGATAAAAAAAGCGATTTATTGCTATGTATTAATTGATTTTTGTATATCGTAAAAGCAAAGTATTTAGATATAAGCAAAATATTTTACTAAAGCTAAGTGCACGTAAAAGTAAGCTTTTATTTAAATTAAGCGAATAATAAAAGATTCTTATTAGATTATATAACTTCTATAACTTTAATAACTTTTATAACTTTAAAATGTAATATTAAAGACATGTAATACTAAGACGTATAATACTAAAATATATAACTAATTATTTTACATATTGCTAATAATTTTTATAACTTCTATAACTTTTGTAACTTCTATAACTTCTATAACTTCTGTAACTTCTATAACTTCTGTAACTTTTATAACTTTTGTAACTTTTATACCTTTTATAACTTCTATAACTTCTATAACTTTTGTAATTAGCGATAACATCTGTATCATTTGTATCTATTTATAAGTTTTACAATCTTTATGCAAGCTGCTCTCGGTATACATAATCTGTATCTCGATCAATACTAGTATTTGTAGCTTTTTTTTAAAGCGGCAAAAGTCAAATACATTCTCAAACATAACCTTCGTCAAAGTCTTCACCTTAAAAGCTAAAACGTAATATAGCTTATAAGCAAATTCAGCTTTAACTTAATTAATTATTGCTTTAATCAGCGAAATCCTTTGACTTTTATAAACGGTAATTGCGTATGCGATTTGAAAAGGAAGTTGCTAGCGATTGCAAAGTTTATTATCGTAAAAGAAATCTCGATCGACGGTAAAAACCAAGAACTATTTAGTATTCTTAAAAATAAAACTAAAATAATCTTCAATATTTATTATAATCTTTTAAAGTAAATCTTCGCGTAGTTTAATTCTTGCTTCTTAAAAGATGTTTTTGAATATACTTATAAACCTATTAATAACTTTTAATTTTATTTATAGATTTTAATTAAGTATAACTTAAGCTTTAATGCAAATATTAATAGTTTGTTTTAAGCTTTTAACCTTTTTTTAATCGGCGTTATTTGCTTTTGCGCTGCTTGTATTTCTTAATTTAAGTCGTAAGATAAAAGCGTTTAGCTTTTTCAGCTGCTTATAATTGTATTTTTTAACTTCCGCGTTCGTAAAGTAAATATAAAAAGCATTTTTAAAAGAATCTTTATTAGCCGGCCGGATATTTATTTTAGCTCGAGAAATAAAGAGTTCTTAGCTATCTATCGAAAAGTTATCTTTTCGGAGTTTTAAATGTGCTTAACGGAAATTGATAGCTTTTAAAGACTCGCTTTTTTAACGCATAATAACTTTAAATCGAATAATTTTATTAGATAATCGATAAAAAGACTAACCGATCTTTTGCTCAAGTAAGAAGTTGTAAGTTATATATAAAGACTTTTTTTTAATTAACGGCAATTAATAAAAATCTTTATAAAAATAAATACTTACACTTTTAAATAACTTTTAAGACTTAAAGAATATTTAAGCATAGCGGCGTTAGATCCGAGCAAAGTCTTTTAAGTCAATTATTAACTTCTTATTAATAATTAAATATTTATAATCTTTGAATTTTGCTTAAAAGGTTTGAAAGATAGCAAAAGAATTGTTTATAGCATAGTGTTTGACCGGTAGCGTTAATAAAGAATATAATATAGATCTTGCAATGCTAAAAGCAGTAACACTTATAAAAGCAGCTCGGCTGACTAGATTTAGCTTGCTAGCTTTATCTGCTATATTTTAAAGTTGAACGCAAGTAACAAAAATAAAATAAGTTTTGCTCGTGCTAGCCTTGCTATCGAGATGAATTAACAATTATAAAAGAAGTTGGTTTAATAGTACTATAATATAATAGTTTATTATAAAATAATAAAATCTTTTTTGCTCGTCCGAAAGCCTTTTAAGATCACAACTTTAAGTAGCGTTAACCCGTATATTAAACACTCTCGTAGCAGCTTTTTAATCTCGGATATAAGTAGATAAAATATTGTATTTGCTAATATATAAATCCCAATTATAAGCAAGATCTTAAAGCCGATTCGATATATCGTTTTCGTTTATAAAAACAATATAAAAGTTCCGAGAGTTTCGTAAGTTTTATTTTTCTTTCGCATTAATATCATTACGGTTTTAAAGCTTAAAGTCTTTTATATCGTACTTATTATTTAAACTAGCTTCATTTGCTTCGTTAGCTATAAAAAGAAGATCGTAATAGTTTAACGAATGCAAAAAATCGCTATAAGGATCTTAATAAAAGCGCTTGCACGCGCTATACGCTAAAGCAAATATTGCATGCTTTTCTTCGGTAATATCAATAAGTAAATCGTCTTTTGTTCGATAAAAGTAGTATAACATCAAGTAAGTACGCGAGTTATACTTATAATTGTTATAGACCTTAATGTTTGAATATTAAAAGTAGTAATTAATAACTTAAAGCTTGCTTTTTCGCATAAAATCCTTTTTTTAACAAGTATATATATCGTAAACTTTAAAAAAGTCTAAAAGAATAATATTTTTAATACGATCAAAGCGTTATCGATAACGCTAAAAGTTAAAAAGCTTAAATTCTAATCTATTTTCGTTCAACTCTACTTAATGCTTTTTATTTTTATTTAGTCGGTAATTTAAATTAATAAATGTCCGAGTCGATTTAATCAAACTAAGTCTGAAAAGCAAGTAGCAAACCTCTTAAGCGCTATAGTCTTTCTTTCTTAGCAGCTTATTAAGCATCTTAAAAACTAGCGAAAAAGCTAGAGCTTTAGCATTGATATGTTCTAGCATTATATTAATAATATTTTTATAAAAGTCGGATTCTTTTTTATACTTAAAGTAATACTTAAAAGCGTACTTTAAAAGACTTTTAAAGCTAGATACAAGCTGTATATCCGTATTAGCTAACTAGCTTAATACAAAAACAAATGAAAAAGGGTTTTATAAAAGATAATTGCGCTAAGCGATAAACTAATACTTTCGAAAATTTATTTTTCGATTGTAATTAGCTATCGGCTGCATAAAACGCTTATAATAGAATCTATAAGAAAAGACTTTTGTATCTTCGTTTTTACGTAAACAATATTTAATTAAACAAACGCAATAGATTTGCATTCGATTAATTAACGCAATAAGTTAATCGACCGTATTTTTAATTATATTAAAAAGTAAAAAAGTCGGGTTTTGCAAATTTAATAATCGAATCGCATTAAGATTATAAGCGGTAATATAATCTTTTTAAAAGCTAACGAAGTCTAGAATACGAAAGTAATCGTTTTTTTTAAAGTTTATACTAAGTCTAAGCTCGTTCGTATCGTTCGATCTGCTTTTTAATTAAAATATACCGTAAATGTAGCTTAAGCTACGATCTTGCTACTTTTATCGCGCTTAAAAATTAATATACGGCAAATAATAACTTAAGATGTTTTATAAAAAAGCTTGCTAACGGATATAGATATAAAAAGCAATAATAGCCGAGTTCTTTTAAACATTTTTTAAATTATTTTAGCTCGCTGAGCTTGATTAACGGCTTTATATTAATTATACTAAAAAAGATAGCGCTAAAAGTCTTCTTATTGCATGTCCGCAACACTTTAAATAAAAAAAGCTATTATAGCATTTAACTAAGACTTGGCTAGCGCTTTTAGCTAATAGCTTTGCTTCTTTTAAAAAAGACGAATGCTATTAATAGCTTGCTTATAGCGCACGATCTGATTAAGAAAGGCTAGCTATTCTTTTAATTGATTTCGCAAACCGTTAATACTTAAGTCTTTAATATCTTTTCGAAACTTAATAAAATAAAAAAATATTTTAACGACTTTAAGTCGCATTAAAATATTAAAAAAGTAGAACCGAAAACAAAAGTAGATCGCAAAACGCTTATCGCGGTAATTTATTAAGTGTTTAATATATTCTTTTATATTAACTTTTCAAAATCTTTAAGTATAGAAATCGCTTGCGCTAATAAAAAAGAGTATTAGAAAAGCTAAATTAAAAAGCTTTTAGTTAAGTCTTAGCTTAAAGATTAGCGTAAATCGCTAGCTTAAAGCAAAAGCAAAAATATGCTGCTTCGATACGAGTTTATTAAGTTAAGCAAAAAGCTAATTAAATTCCGTAATATTTAAATTCAAATCGAAAATTATAGTTTTTAAAAGAAAACGCTTTTAAGTATCAAGTAAATCATCGTTAGCATTTAAATGATCCTTTAGATCAAGTAAAGCATCTTTATCGTTTGCAAAAGGTTTATCTTCGCTTAAATCTTTTTTAAGATTATCGTAAACTTTTCGGCGCAAGCGGCGGCGTTTTTATGCCGATAACTTTATAACTAAAGCCGCTGTCTTTAATAAAAGCTATTCGGATGTTTCGTTTTTAATAGTTGTGACTCGTCTTTTTATATTTTTATTTACGAGCAAATAATCTATTAAGTTTTAGTTTATATTAATATTAATATACTTAAAATTATTTGCTTTTAAGAAAGTAAGTTGAATATAGATCGTAAAGCGCTGAACTTAATATTCTTTTTTAAACTGCTTGCTGATCCGAAAGTCTTTATTAAAACCTCTAAGCTTAAGAATAATTACGTTAACCTTTTAAAGCAAAGAAAGGTTTTTAAAGAACTTAGCATTATTAAAAGCAAAGGTTACTACGTAGTCCGAGTATTTATATTAATAGCCGCGGTAACGCTAAAGCGATATATTAATATATAATAATAAAATCAACGCTTTTTCTAATACCGAAAGCTTTAATAAGTAGTCCGATATTTCACTTAAGTTTATATTATTACGAGCTATTATAAGATAAAGCTGTTTAAGAAGATCCGGTTCTTTAATAAATCTATTACAACGGTTATATTCGTAATAAATGATATCGCCGCGGACTACTTTTAATCTCATTTCGAACTATCTTTTATTATAACGAAAGCAAAAGTCTATTTAAATAGCTCTTATAATAAAATGAAAATCTTAAATCATCTTTTATTTTTTTTTATTAACCGCCGGCTTATATTCGGCTAAAGTAGTATACGATTATAA